GTCAGGAAACCTGATGAAATTAAAGATGTAAAAAGATTTGGCATATATTTCTGCTTATCATGTTATGGAGAAACAAATAAACTGAATTATTAGTTTGCAGAATTAGAAGTCTAGAGAGGAATAGCCTTCAGGAGCAATATAGCCATCAGCTCAATAATATCATCAAGGGTTTTTTTCTCTTTTTGATCAATTATTCTTGTGGCAATCTGGGTTATAGGCTGATTTGCTCATACCTGGTAGGAAAGAGAATCCTTTTCTCTAAGTATGGATTAAAAATCTTTCCCTTTTGTCTGATTGGGCCACTTTACTACAGGACTATAATGGTTTTCAGGTGTTTTACCATAATTAGAATAGTCTAGGACCTAAGCATAACTTATTTTCTAGGTCATACTACAGTAATAATAATAATAATAATAATAATTATCCCTAAACAACAAAGATGTATTTATTACTCAAACCAACCATCCTGACTTGATGAGAGTGAGAGGTGGGCTGTTCTGCATTATCCTTTCTTGGGGACCTAGGCTGACAAAAGCTTTATCATCTTCAACAATACTGGTCTTGAGGCTGTGACAGAGTAAACACTGTAAGAACTTACCTTGCAATTAAATATTCACATGGAAGTAGCACATATCACTTCTACTCACAACCCACTACAGACTAGTGACTATAACTAGTTACATGGCCCAGCCAAGAACAAGAGGAGGGGTGAGGGGAGGGCAGAGATATACATGTGAAAATGTGACAGGGTAAGCATTACAAATCTCTATCATACCAGGGAATTCATTTACTGATTGACTCAGGTTAATTGAGTTGCCCTTTTGTAGCTGGAGGTTGGATAGTTACCTAAAAAAAACACAAAAACAAAAACAAAACAAGCAACTCAATAAGAAAAATTTAGGAGTGGATGTTGAATAAGAAATCATGTGTGAATGAATTATATGATAATTTATCCCAAAGGAGAAGAAAGAAATTTCAGCCAAGGAGGCAAGTTACAGGGAGGGATAGTGTGGGTAGTTTCATCAACCTCTAAATCAATCACTTCATTTATTCTTCTGATTGGAAAGATTGGCTCTAGCTATTTAATAAGTGGGTGTAGATTAAGCATGTCAAACTCTTGGCCCGAAGGCCACATGCGACCCATAATGAATATTTTTGCCGTCCAGCCAATATAACGGTATGTAAGAAACGCTTTAATAAAAATTTCATAACTTAATTTTTATAATATCCTATTATATCTAATTATTAATAAGGAACTACAACTTTCACTAATGACTGATTACTATAATCATGCTGCATTCATTTCCATTACGCACCTGGTACACAGGTACATCATTCCTCTCCACTAATACTAGCAGTGAATATTTTAGCAGCCGATGGCTGCGTCATTAGTTTGTACTGACTTGTTTGGTGTGCTCAACAGAAAATATTACGCTTTTGGAGAACAAGAAAAATAGGTTTATTTGTGTTACACTTATTAATTTAGTATCTGGCAAGTTAATGTTCAAGAAAAATATTAATTTTTATTAAAATATTCTATTATTTTATGTTAACAATTACTCATTTATTTCAGCCCTTTGTATTCAGCAAGTCTGTATCAAAATAATTCTACATTTTATGAAAATTGAAGCTTTTTTTTTTTTGTGTTAAGCCCACATAAACTTCAACCTTGTTTATTTGGCCATGTTAGCTTTTGAGTTTGACGTGATTGGTAGATAGACAATTTCACCTTAAGGAGATGGCTCAAAAGTGGCTTAAAACCTTTATTGAATTTGAAAATATAGGCTGTTTTTCCAGATATCGTTATTAGTTACGGTCAAGCTAGCTAGATTTATAATTTAGGACTGGCAAACAACTAAAATTTATTTAGTCCAATCCCTTTATTTTACAGATGAGAAAACTATGAGCCAAATGGGTAAAATAATTTTCTGAAGTTCACACCTTCTTGCAGGTAGCAAGAACAGTACTGGCCTTTGGGTGTTTACAACTTTGGAAATGTGGTAGTATTCATAAATTTTGATCTCAATAAAATGGCTACTCAGGCACTCAATTTTCATTTTGGTATTTTCCATGGTCTAATGGTTGACTCCTTCTTGTTCCACCCACAAGATGCACACTGCTCTGGTTGGTGACTAAGAATTTGATGCAGGCTGTATAAAAAATACACATATTTAGAAGTTTCTATAATGTTATAAAGAATATTCTTTACTGTGTTTCGCTGAGCAGAACTTTATAAGTTTTTGTGTCAGCAAAAATAGGTCTCAAGCCTAGTTGTTGAGGGGGTGGTAGTGGAGGAAGTGGTGGAACAATTGTACTTTCTTAAGCAAATACCTGAAACTAGAAGTGATGTGAGGCACAGACACACAGCTGGGGTGAGAAGAGAGAGTAAGAAGGCCCAGCAACAGAGTGAGGTTGGAGCTTGTGGAAAAAATAAACTTTAACAGAGATGTGTTCTGGTGGCCAGTGATATAGACAGGACCTTTGGGGGACACTTTCTGTCATAAATTTAATCTGTTAAGAGAAAGGCGGAGTTTTAGAAATATTCTTCTCTGGAGAGAGTAAAAGAAATGTGATTTTTAAAAGCAGGGACTGTTGTGAATTTTTTTTGTAAATTCATTATTAGCCTGGAACTTAATGTGTAGTTTGTTCTCAAAAGTCAGTTATTTTACTAATACTTCCAGTTCTAAGGTGGGTAGCTAACTCGTAGGCATGTTCTGAAAAGGGCTTTGATAACAGTGTTCTGTCACAGGCTGAAAAGCATGTTGACTCAACAGAGCATAACTGAAATCGCTTAAGATCTAGTGTCTGAATATGTACTAGAGACACTAGTTATTTGGTATTTTAATATATATTATTCTGTGCTATAAAAATGCAGTAAATCTTGAACAAACATTTCTTGGGCAGTTTTTTCTTTTCTTTTTGAGCAGGAGTTTGAGAATATAATTATTTTAATCCATAGGTTTCTGGAAAGAAAACAACGAAGGCTAGATTTTTAAAAAATTGATGTTTTCAGGCAAATGTAAAGCTTTGAACTTGGAGATCTTGAAATATTCTACAAGGTAAGCTTTAGACATTTTTGCTAAAATACTTCTAATAAAAATGCTGTTAAACTAAAAAGTGACTATCTCCCTCACTTCTGACTTCTTAAAAATTATCTAGAGTACGACTGATAAGACTTTGGACTATAATCCATTTTACTATGGCATAAGCCTAAAATTTGTTCCTTTCCAACAACCATAGCCTGCAACCCTTAGAGTGGATTTTTATACTGTTTACAGTATAAGCTTAGTGCAGAAACGGCTTCAGTGGAGGAGAGCAACCACACATTCAGTAAATGATTGTTGAATCATGACTAAGCTGAGCTGGAACACAATTCTGACTCTGCCGGTGTATGTTTTTGACCTTAGACTAGTCACTCTACGTTTTAAATTTTCCCTTCTTACAGGGAAATCATAATAAAAATAACTGTAAACTACTTCGTGGAGAGCTTTTATTTTTAAAGGACTGCCAATCAATATCCGAGTCACAAGGTCTCAATCCTACCTCAGAAGGTAAGTTTATTGAGGGATAGGGAACTTTTTTCTGCTTTAAAATCAGCAGTATCTTATTTGTGCTTCTGGAGTATGGTTCCTCGCCTTTAAAAAAAAATGACTCCGTAAATACTGTGTATTTATGAACGTTATGAGGCAGATAACAGTCTTGGCAGTCCACTGCCTCTCTTAAATCTCTTTTCTGTGATCCTTTTCACACTCAGCATCTAAAAGGCCGCCGCTATTTGCTCTAGGTGTCCCCAAGACATGTACTCAAAAAACACCCAAATCCAGAGGAAGAACTCTTCTGTGTTTTAGGGCATCATTTCGCTTTCACTGCACCCCAGGCTTGGGATCTGGGTCTGGAAGCACAGGGAAGAGTTTGGTAAAGGAAGCTCATCTCCCCGCCTTCTGATTGGTCGGCTCGCACTCCACTCACGCAGCTCGCGTCTTTGATTGGCCACCGTGGCCCTCCCCCCAACCCCTCCGCTGGCTGGCGACTACTTTGTGTGCCGGGCCGGCGCGCTCAGGTCCTGGGGCAGCTCGCCGTCTGGGCTGCTGTGAGCTAGCTCTTCGGCTCTCTGCTCTGCATCGCGGGCGGCGGGAATACCCCGAGTCCGAGCGGGTAGGAAGCATCCTAAGGAAAAGCCCTTCTCCTCCCCTCCGTTCCGTGTTCTCTTTCCCGTACTGAAAAATAAACTTCCGCCTCATGGAGGGGCTGTCGCCGCCGCGGGCCGGGGGGAGAGGCCCGACGTCGAATGTAGGCCCTCTTGGGGGATGATCTTGACATCCGGCGAGTGTGGAAACATAGCTCTCACGGGAAAGTAGGGCTTCGTCCTTGGATTTTGGGTGCGTGCCAGTCTGTGTGCGCTTTGCAAGCTGCAGCCGAGCTGCAGCGATCATCCCTAACAAGTGGCAGAGAGAGGGTCTGCTTCCAATCTCCAGTACCTAAGGTGCTCCTTAGGGCCGCGGCTGACCTGGCACGGGCCGGCCCATCCCAGCGGGTCGAAAATACGGGATTCCCTGGAGGTGGCGCTCCCCGGGAATGGGACCAGCCGGCTCGTCCCGCGCCCCCGCGCAGCCTCCGGCCTTCCAGCGGTAGAGGGCGGCCTACGCTCACGCTGGAGCAGGCGCCCGCGCCCGCGCGCAGCTGCGGCACTGCTGGAACCCTCCCGGGTCCCGCTGTAGCCCGGGGCGCTCCTGCCCCGGGATGCTGCGGCGAGCGATCCAAGGGCGCCGCGCGAAGGGGGCGGGGAGAAAGCCCTGGCACACGCCTGGGTCGCCGCCGTAGGTGGTGGCAGGGGCCCGCGCATGCGCGCTCTCTCCCCGGAGCCGGGGACACCGAGGGGCGCGCGCCCCCTTCCGCGCGCTCACGCGTGCGCTGTCCTGGGTTTCCCCCGCCCGCTCTCGCGGTCGGAGCCGCCCCGGCGCGTGCGCGCGTTATCTCCGGCCGCCGACCGGAGTGGTCGGCTTCCCTCCGCTCCAGGCCCCCCGCCCCCCGCCCCTCGCGGGCCCCCTTTCTCCCAGCCCCCAGGCAAGCCGGTCTCCTTCCCCTTCCTCGCGGCATGGGGCCGGCGCCGCCCGGGGTCGCGCGCCTGGGACCCGGCTCGCGCTCGGCCTCGCGCTGTCAGCGGCTGTCCAGCGCGCGCCGCCTCGCGCTCTCCCTCAGTCACTGGCGCCGGAGGCTCCGTTAAGCGGCGGCGGCGGCGGCGGCGGCGGCGGCGGTTCCTGTTTCCGTTTCTTCCCTCTCCCTTCAAGTCGGTAGTAGCATCCTCCACCCAGCCTCCTCCCCTCCCGCCCCGCTAACGGAGGGCAGCTGCGGCTGAGGCTGTGGCGGCGGCGGCGGCGACCCGGGAGCAGCGGAGACCGCCTGTGCTCCCGCCTCGGGTAAGGGGGCGTTGGGGGGCCGGGCCCCGCGCGCCTCGAGGTCTGAGGCTGGGCGAGCGCGGGATCGGAAGGGGCTCCGGGGATGGGACTGGAGGCTGTCGCTACTCTTTTTCCCCTTCCTCCAGGCGATCCCCGGGCCTGTTGCTGCAAGTGCTGCTGCAGATCCAGCCGCTCCGGGGAAAGTGGGGAGGGAGCCCCCGGGACGCCCCGGCCGGGCGGCTGCCTTTGCGCGGCCCGGAGGGCGCGGGCAGGGGGCGAGGAGCGCCCGCCGCCGCCCGGGCCGGGACACGGAGCGGGGCGGCTGCTGCCCTCGTGTAGGCGCATCCTTGGATCGGGCAGGGGCTGAAGCCGGGGAGAGGAAAGGAGATGGGGGCGGGGTAGGAGGTGTCCCTCTCCTCCACACCTACCTGCCCTTTCGCCGGCAGTTCTGTCTCCGCGGTCACAGACCGCGAGGAAGAGGATGCCTGTGCCTTATGGGCTTTTGAGAGGGGTTCTTGGGGCTAGAAGTCTGGGAGTGGATCTGTACAAAAATCCACTCCCAGCGAGAGGGGGCAAAGCCTGGGCATTTAAGGGCATGAGTGCCCCTGCACCTCCACACTCTCCACTCTCCACTCCCCCCTTTTGATGTGGAGATGATGAGCTGGTGGCTTTTGAGTATCTAAACTTAACTTGGGAGGTTAAGTGAGAATTAGTTGAAGGAGGTTTGTCCTGCAAGAGTGAATAGATTGTAGGTCGCAGCACCTGTTCTCTCACAGGGGGGACTGCAATCTTTAGAAACGCAGGACGTCAGGGACGCAGTGCATTTCTTAAGTTCAATGACAGTGCCATGGTTAGTTAACCCAGGTGAGCTTTGAGCGTTTTGCCATATATCAGCTTGCTTGCTTATTTATTTATTTATTTAAGTTGTAGAAATGGGAGTATATTTTCTTTGAAAGTTAAAAACTGAAAAAAGACTTAACATCAATTGTGTGCCAGTATAGGTCGGCTGGAAAACACACAGACACACACACACACACACACACACACACACACAAACACACAAACAAAACAAAACAAAACACTGATAAGCTTGTCTGTTTTATACCAAGAAGATAACTCTAGTCCGAGCTTTAATGTGCTTCCTATGTTTTCTGCTGCTTTTCATTCTTTCCCATATTTCATATCAGAGGATTGTTGCAGTCTTTAAAACTTCATTAACAGGAACAAATCCATTATCCACATTTCTTCTCAAAAGGCACTCTAACCACATCAGATAGCCAGGCATTTTCATTCTCACAAATACTCGATCCGTGAAAAGAAACTCAGCAAGACACAGACGATTTCAATGAATAGAAGAAAAGACATCTATTGAGTTTTGGAATGTTTGGTGCATTTGGATTAGTCTAGGTTTATGAAACCTAACCCTCCCATTGAGTCCTTCTTTAATATATTGTCCGTTTACTCTGTAGGCCAAGAAAACTACTGGTCTCTAATGCCATGTTCCTCAGTCATAGAGCCAACTCTCGGAGGTTCAACGATAACATAATACATTATTTCCCTGGTGATGAGGAAGTAAGACACTACCACCAAAATGTACATTGTCATGGCCGAGGACATGTGCATACAGGATGGCTGCTTCAGCTTCAGGTTGGGCCATTCCAGCACTAAGAATGGGGGTCAGTACAAAGTCTCCATGTTGGTGGCAAGAGCAGCTCTCCATCTCCATATTAGCTTTTTGATCGAGGCCTTGGATAAAGGCAGGGAGAGGTGTCATTCTACTTCCTGCATTTTAAACTTTTCACAGGTAACTGACTGAACTTTGACTTGGCTCTCTTTAGAAACTATAGGAAAGGCTTCATTATACTACTTTTATTTTTTGTCTTTCCCCCCCGCCCCTTGTTATTCTGGGGGTAAGTGCATTTTTGTTTTCTTAATTTAAATTTTATGTTTTTATGCATAATTCTTTTAAAGGGTGCATCATGTAGAAGTCATTTTAGGAGAGAAATTATTTAAGCACCACAGAGCTACACTGAAATAATGGCATAAGTTGTATTCTCCCTTCAAGTTAAAAACAATCTAAAATGTTATACCAAAATAATAAGGACCTGTATGTTGCTAGCCTTGTGAAATACACTATAAAATGTGTATAGAAAGTCTTGATTACTTGATTTATAAATACAATAGTAAGAATAAGGTGGGAATTCAAACATTTGAATTGTGATTCTACAGTTTAATATTTAAAAATGTAGAAAGTTAGAAATGAGTAGAAGGAAAACAGAAGGGTAGTTTGGAAGCATGGATTTTCTTTTTGCTGCATTATAAATTGAGAATTCTACTTGAATTGAAGAACTGAACAGCTGGAATGAAACTTGCGTATATTGCAGCAACATGCTAAAATGTATCTTTGATCAAGTATTGAACTCACATGAAGAATATATTGTGGTTTATTAGGATAGTGGTTCAAAATAATTTCCATAAAAACATACCACTACATAGATTTATTTTAGGATGTTCTTAAATTTTAAGAGTCATTTGAAGTTGTTTTCCCACAAGTCAGTTCTGTTTGAGATGTATAGGATTGAAAAAAATAATTTTGATTATATTCTGAAATGCTTGCATACAAAATTTTAACTACTTATTTTAAGGAGTTGGAATGTATTTAAAGGTAAATTTTGAAATTTGCTAGTGTTTTGTAAAAATGTGTGTTCCTTGTTTATTTTTTTAAAGTGCACTTTATTAGTAGGTTGGTCTGGAGGGGGAGCTAGTGCCAAAGCAAAGCATAGCTTAATATGTTTCAACTTTTAAAATACCTCAAATCAGATTTTTGTAACAAGAATAAACATACATTTATTTATTTATTTTTTTTTAGAGGTACTGGAAAGGAGTGAGGGGGAAAGAGAAAGAAAGAGAAACTTGGATAGAAGAGAGACACATTGATTAGTCGCCTCCCACATGCGCCCCTGACCTGGGCGGGGATTCAGCCTAGTTATCAGCTCTTGAGTGGGATTGAACCCAGGACACTTCGGTGCAAGTGCCGGTGTTCTAACCATGGAGCAACACTGGCCAGGGTGAATCATACATTCTTATTGAAAATAGTAAGGGAATTGATATGGCATATATCTGTACATAGTTATTTGTGGAGTATATATATATTGTGTATTACAAATTAGTTAAAATATATTTTCGTGATCTGAAATAATGTTTAATAATGATCTGAAAGTTTAATGTTTAAGGTTTGTTGAATTTCTCACTTAAAATCTCTTGAAAATATGTCCCGAACTTAGAGTGTGTGATAGTAGTTTCTTAACCTTGTGCAGTCATCAGAAGGGAAGGAGTATATCTTGACCCTTTGTGCATGTTGTGTGCTCTTAAATTTTTTCCTTGTAATATTATATATACAGTCTTAAATATAAAAAAAGCTTCAAGTGGTCTTATATGTGCAAAGATATCACTTATGTAGTAACATAGATATTTATCAAAAGTAGAGGTACTTTCAGTAAAGAAATAGACCCTTGAGACATCTGTAGAGCAAGGATTCCTAGATCACTTATTAACCTCTGTCTCCTGAAATATATATAGGAGTGAATCGAGCTTATCTACTAAATTGAAGCAGTTCAATTTGAATATGAAGCAGTTCTTTCTTTCTTTTTTTTTTTTGTCTATGATACTTTATTTAGACATTTCATCATTCACATTCTTCAAATTATAGGCTACAAATTGGTAATGTGTATAGTAAAATCAATAGAATATTTAGTTTCTGAGGAGAGTGGTTGAACTGTGTGTTCTCCATTGCTCTTCATTATGTAAATAGAATTTCAATGCTGATAAAATAAAAAAATAGTTTCTTTGAAAGAAAGGAATGATAATATCTGTAAGAGAATAGTGAGGTGTTTATCATGCTTAAGGGGTTAATGCTATAAATTAGACAGTTTTATGAGACATGTCAGAATATTTTTATGTAACTTTTACAATGTCTTTATTTTTTTGTGCCAAACCCCAGGAATGAACCATTATCGGTTTGTTATTTTTGATTTAGTAAAAACTGCATTTAGTAAATCTCTTGGTTTAATTAAATGGTAAATCATATTTTAACACATTTATAAAAAGTAAGAGTCTCCATTTATAATCATAAGAGTAAATATAAACATGTAAATAAATTTATTTTCTAAAAACGAAAACAAAACTAAGATTTTAAACAACTCGGAAACCAAAGATATTACTATTATAGTACTTTTTTTTTTTTTTAAATATATTTTATTGATTTTTTTACAGAGAGGAAGGGAGAGAGATAGAGAGCTAGAAACATGGATGAGAGAGAAACATTGACCAGCTGCCTCTTGCACACCCCCCACCGGGGATGTGCCCACAACCAATGTACATGCCCTTGACTGGAATCGAACCTGGGACCTTTCAGTCCGCAGACCGACGCTCTACCGTTGAGCCAAACCAGTTTCTATTATAGTACTTTTATACCCTGCATCAATACTGGCCCTATGGTACTTTTCAGCTGAGATACCTACTTTGTCTTCTGTTGTCGGTAGTAGTATAGTGAGGGTAGCATTTAAAGGATCAATACAAGATTTTCTGCTTATATTCCTGTTTTAAAAAATATATTTATTGATTTTTAGAGAGAGAGGAAGGGAAGGGAGAGGAAGAAAAAAATGGAAATGTCAATGAGAGAGAAACAGAACAGCTGCCTTTTGCATGCCCCTCACCAGAAATTGAGCACGAAATTCCAGGCATGTGCCCTGACTGGGAATTGAACTAGTGGCCTCTTGGTGCATGGGTGGACTCTCAACCACTGAGCCACACTGGCTGGGCTGGCTTATATTTCTTTACCATAAAGTATATGGTTTCGTTTTTGCAATTTGAGTTGTTATTAAATTGTAGTTTGTTATGATGAGATATTAAGCATGTTTAAAAGTAAAAGATATTTACAAATGATTTTTTTGAAAACTTTAAAAAATTCCCAACAGAAGAAAATTAGATAGGAATGTATACACTTAAGATGTATTTTTTTA